TTAATTCATTCATTACGTTAATCACGTTATTTTAATTATTAATTTTTGTTAAAAAGAAGCCCGAATTCAGCAAAAATATATTTTCCTGAATTTCCTGATGGGATTTGGGGAAGGTTTTCTTTTTTTTTCTTCACAGTCCTGATTATGAGGTTAATAAAATCAAATGTATCTTTAAATTTAAGAAAAATATTGCAGACAAAAATAATGTTTTCTGATCCGCTATAGTTGCAAAAATGTCACGCTAATCACTATATAAATGATTGTTTGTTTTGATTTTTAAGACCCTCATTTTGGCGGAAAGTGGGGTGGGATTTTCAAAATTTTACCTACAGTAAAGAATGACTATAAGCTTGAACTTAACCGAACCAATATATAAGTAAACAAAATTTATAATTTCTGTGTTTATAGTATAAATAAACTTAGTGAGAAATGATCAAATCAACAGAAGCTAACACAAAAAAGAAAATATTATTACAGTATTGGCCTCTCAACTTCACTTCACTCAAGCCTTTACTGTCACCTACATTATTGTAAACAAAGTTTCTTTATCAATGTTTTCCTGTTTTTTCTTTCATTTTTATTTATTTATTGTATTTTTCTGAAGTTATTAGCTAATGTCCGCACAAGCCATAGTTGGGGAAAATAGCTTTCCACCAACATTTAAAAACTAATAGAGTATATTTCCCAGTATTAATGCATGAAATCGTTTTTGATAAATAAAAGAAAAATATCACAATTCCAACGCAAGCAATAAAATGTTTCAATGCATTTTACTGTTATCTTAAAGATTCTACTTGGTAACAATATACTATAGAACAATTTGACGTGAACATTTCGCTTTTGAGGAAAATATGGCTTATGACTATATTTCCTTAGTCTCTTTTAAATATTTAACTGTTTGCTATCTCGAAGTTATACATTTCACTTAATTAAGAAAAGATGAATCACTGTGTTTAAGCATTAACTGTAAATGTATAATAGTAGAGTATTATTAAAAACCCTAATGATCATTTGAATAAAATCTACTCCTCCGCTTCGATAAAAATTGTCTACCATTCTATTTATTTCATACCCTCCGTTTTTTCAAATATCTCAACCCCATCCATCGTTCCCCATTCATCCATGGCAGCATGGAATTCTAAACCTGTTCGAACGTTCGACATTTGTCAGAGGGAGAGGGATACAACAATTCGAACTCGTGGCATAACAAATGATTTTGAATTGCTGTCTGATGGATGTTTCGATCAGACCATCTGCCGGTACAACTCTGCATTCAGGCTGCAGGGCATGTTTTGCTTTGCAGATTTCTACATATGATTTGACATGTTACAAGGGATCTCTTCGATATTCGATGTCGAGCGATATATATATATAAAAAAAGAGAAAAACGAGCTGCTGGTAAAAGAAGAAAAAAAAATAGGTGCGGTTTTGATTTTGAATTTACACCTGCTGCTGCCGATTCAGATTCACCTGATTAATAATGCCGCGTGAATGTATCTATGCCATACTTAATTGAGAATCGTGTTTTTTCAATATTTGTATTATTTGTGCAAGGTTACAGCTGAATTCCGTCTTAGGACTCGTCTTCTTTCTTTCTCAATCCAAATTCGTTCTTTGGGATGATACAGTTTGTAGGCATCTTTGCAAAATTTCAGTCATCTTCGAATCCTTATCTGTTTCAATCTATTTGTTGTCGAAACAAAATTGTAGATCAAAACAAACATCGCCAGAACTTCGTCGATTTTTCTCCAATTCAAAAAGTTTTTGCTTCAAAATGTATTCAATGTTTGTTTTTAAATGCTTCAGTGTTTTAAAAAATTTATTGAAGTCTTTTCGAACAATTCAGCTCATAGTTTTCACGTGACTTCATAATTTTTTTATTTAACAGTAATTCCTTTTAATTTTTTATTTAATAGTATTCCTTTTATTTTATTTTTCAATAATTCTATAAGAAAACAAACCTCAGCGGAACAGATTAAAATGTAAACCAATTGCAGTATTCGATTGAATCATTTTCAGATGCTTGGAGATATTCTTACTGGATACTGGATTTATTTCTAATGGACTGCCTGAATTGTACCAATCAAATTCTCAATTTTTCAATGCATATTTTATGTATATTTTCATTACAATGAAAAACTTTAAAAAAAGTAGAAAAAAGTTAAGCAGCCAGCACACCCAGAATTTTTTTCTAAAGCAAATTAAAAGTTTGTTATTAAAACAATTTATTTAACACTAAATCATTATTTACATTAAGATGAAGATGAGGGAATCTCCAATCATCTATCTAAAGTTTAAGCCGAGTGAACGTTTTAAACTCTTGAAGACTACAAACGTCTGACTTCCTCTCCCTCTGGAATTCGACCTATCTGAATTCTGAAATGAATTAAGCCTCGTACTTTGTGTTAATGTCTTAAGTGAAAGTAACAGCATAATAAATAAATTTTTGTATCGTTCTCTTCGATTTTAGTTTCAAGATTACTTTATTTGTACGTTGATCTATACTTGGACAGAGAGATTAGTTCGCTATTTCTTTATTTTTTTTTTTTTATCATTTACTCTACTACATCTAAGCGCAAAAAAGAAGGAAAAAAAACAGACTATCTTGAATATCGTTTGACTCCAAATGTTCCTGAGAAGTCGAATTTTTCAAAATTCGATTTCTCAAGAACTTTTCGGCTAACCACACACAAATTTTGCATTTTGTCAGGTAAAATGACATAATTCAAAATGATATAAAGAATTGTATAAATTTTGTGGATCAGAAATCCTACTCCTTCGGAAAGAGGGTACGTTTATTCAGAGAAAGTACGATTTTGTGTCTGATTTCGTAATTAAACTATCGTATACATCAGTGTTTCCCGAACTTATGACTTTTGTGTACCCTTTCTAAATTTTTNCGATTTCTCAAGAACTTTTCGGCTAACCACACACAAATTTTGCATTTTGTCAGGTAAAATTACATAATTTAAAATGATATAAAGAATTGTATAAATTTTGTGGATCAGAAATCCTACTCCTTCGGAAAGAGGGTACGTTTATTCAGAGAAAGTACGATTTTGTGTCTGATTTCGTAACTTAAACTATCGTATACACCAGTGTTTCCCAAATTAATGACTTTTGTGTACCTTTTCAAAATTTTTCGTAACTCTGTGTACCATCAATAAGAAAATGAATATATTTTTTTACTATAAAAAAAATTTCACAAGTTAAGAACCACAACTGGCTGTTGACACCACTAATTATTAACTGTTAACTCTGCAAAAAATAGCCAATAGAAAAATTCGTAATTGTAAATTTTCGTGGCTAACTTTGTTTTTAAATAAATTTTTTTGAACTTTTCGTTTGTTGCAACATATTTCACATAAGAACGCATACCCCCGCTAAACTGTTCCCGTACCCCTGGTGGTACGCATACCACACTTTGGGAAACACTGGTATACACTAATAAATTAGCATATTTGATATCACCCTCTCGAAACAGTAAAATTGAGTCCTAGATCGTGAAAATCCTATCATTGGATCAAAAGTTATTCAAGGTGGTCCTTTCTTGCACATTGCACTTAGTAAAGTGAAATTAAGTTACTTTTTTTTTTTTTTNTTTTTTTTAAAGTAAGCAAACGTTTCTCTAACAATCATTTTAATATGATAAAGATAAAATAATCCATCAAATTAACAGTTAAATTTTAGAAAGAGTGTTGAAACTAAGTATATCAAATTTTGTTATATTTTAATACAATATCTATTCTTATTAACTAAATCAAATTAAATGTGTCTTTTTTTTTATAAGATTTCACTGATTCTTACATTTTTTTAAAAAATTCAATTAAAAAAATAATTAATTTTGCACTCTAAATGCATATAAAATAAATATATTTTCAGATTAATAAAAAAAAAGTTATTATTTTTAACTATTGGGATGCGATTTTGCTAAGACAGGTAGCTGCATTAGTAAAAGGAAATAATCTCAATTTTTAAAAATGTGCTACATTATTTATAATTGTTAAGCTAGTGCATGAATATGCCCAGTAAGGTTTTTGAAAACGTGAATCGTCTCTCGAATTTCATTGTATTGTTGTTCTATGCTTTCAATAGCTCTCTCTTTGCTCTAATTTTCACTTTTGAAATAAATATTTCATTAACTATTTTTTCCCTTGTCCCCTAACATGTGGACATGAAACATCTCACTTTTTACTTTAACGCTCAAGCTTTTACTCTCCGTTTTTTTTTAATGCTTAGTAATTATTTTTTCAAGACAATGTAGTGATTAAGGAGTAATATTATTTGAAATAATTATTGATAGGTTTCAAGGAATATATGTTATTACGACCTTGTGATTTTTTCTCGGAATACTTCTACTTTAAATTATTATCAAATACAATACATGCTAGTCAATTCAAGAAATGATCAACAACAGAAACAATCAAATTTGCAAACTATAAAAATAATACAAAATTAGTTTAAAAAAACTGATAGAGAATATTGATGTTTTCTTCAACGCAGCTTAATAAAGATATTTTTTCTAAATAAAAATTCTTAAGATTCATAAATAAACAAGGGGAATTGTGCTTTTAGGAGTTCGAATTAAATATATATTGAAACCATTCAGTTATACCAAACGATAGTATAATCGAAAAGAAAACGATAAAATTAATTAAAAACTTAAATATTGATGTTTAGTGTGACATAACTAAATAAAATAAAATAATGTTCAAAATTAAATAAACTTGTGTTTTTGTAAATAAAAAAAGGAAATAGTGTTTTTAGAAACAAAAGTGCTGGATGACGCATCCTAACCAAGTGAAGAGCTTTGCGATTTAATTTTTTTCCCTGTGGTATTATTAACTAAATCTGGACGATAGAATAACGCCCTACAAACAATCAAGGAAGAAACAGAGAAAACGCATCCCAAATCCTCTGCGATCCACCCCTTCCGATGGCCCGGATGAGCTTGGGCCAGACTAGCGTTACTATGGCAACTCCGTTTCAGGTTACAACGAAGGAAAGGCACCAAGGTAAGAGCATCGAAACAGCAGACGAATTCGCAACGCCAGTTTCCGTCCGAAACATCAAACCGATCGGAGAGGAGCTGTGGTAAAAATCGTCTGCGAGGACTGGGAGCCGGCTTTCGTTTTTCGCTCGTTCACGCCTGTTTTCACTAGATTGGCGCGTGCCAAATTCATGTTTTGTTCTACATCATCGAATTTCTGAGAAAGGTGAACAAAGAAAATCATTTGTGGATGTATTATTTATCTAATTTTTACAGATGTTCAGAATTCGTTGACAATTAACCCACTGGGGAACATTTGTGGCTGAATTTGGAATACGCAAAAATGATTCTTTGGATTAAATTTATGTGGATGATTATTTTCCACAAGTGCCTAATAGTTTATGGTAAGTGCTATATGATTGTTTTGATCTAATATAATCTTCTCCCTCTATAAACAGTTGAAAGATGGATTGTTTACTATTGTTCTTTGCTTTAACATGAATTAGTTCATGACAACATGAAAGAGATTTATTTGCTTTACGATTATGTTAATCTTAAAATCAACATTTGTAGTTTTTTTAACAGCATTTTTGTTTATTTAGTATCCTTTTTACTTTCAGAATTTTAAAAACTTTTGAAACATTCTTTTTTAGATACATTCTGCCAATGAATTTGGAACTGTAGAACTTAATAAAGATTTTATTCTCTTCTTCAACTCTTAAGTTTATTTATAATCTTTGGGGCATCTCTAATCTTATGGACTTACTTATTTTTAATTTTATCTTTTGGATGCGTTTATATAATTTTGAAACTGACAAAATATTTTGTTTTGTGGAAATATACTATGCTTTTAATCGTTTTTTTTTTAATCAATTATATAATTCATTTTTGTTCCCTCTTCAAGTTTTAACACTAACATTTGAAATTTGTAACATTTTTGCGCTATTTCGAAACTTTTTTTTTTTTTTTTTTAAGATTTGAAAATCAACTGTGGATGACTTTTATTAAAAAATTTTGGTATTCATAGGCTAATCAACAAAAAAAAAAAGAACTTAAATATATTTTAATATTATTTATTGTAGGTAAAAAAGAAATATTCATTATCTTAAGATTCTTATTCTATTTTTGTTAAAATCGATTTATGTGTATTTTTTATAGTATTTTTAGTGAAATAGAATCAGTTGTTCCGTTAAAAAATTTTAGTTACCTTTTTTTTGATTCTTCATCAGCAGTTAATACATTCAATCGAAATGTATTGTCTTAGTCCGTCTTCAACTAAAACAGAGAGGGATAGTTATCTTTCCAAGAATTTGGTTATGGTCATGTTAAGTTGTTAAAAATAATTTTTATAAAATTTTATTATTATTTCAAGCCTAGTTCATCAAAAAAAAAAATCTGCGAGAAATATGTAAAAAGAATAAATCCTTGAAATCATGGAATATTTAGATCTTCAGATCTTCACATACCTCACTATGTAAAAAATTCCAGATCAAATTACGGTGAAAAGTATCGGCACTCAAGTTGCCGGTATTTTTTACCGTAAAATCCATTTTTACCGGACCATGTTTACAATATATTCTGATATATCGTAATTTTTTCAGTAACTCTTGGCGAAAAATCGCTGAAACACTTTAATTAAATAAATACTGCAAAAACTATGGTATCATCTTTTACGGTAAAAATAGATTTTACAGATGATAAACCCAAAGTGCCGGTACTTTATACCGTAACTTGATCCAGAATTTTTTTACAGTGTAGTATTTTTGTTAATCAAGCTGTTATAACAATACTGTCAGAATCGTAAAACAAATTCGTAAATTACAGTAACTGGATTAGCTTTTAATAAATGTAACATTCTTTTGTACTGACTTTCTCCGTCCTATTACTGAAAAAGGCTAAGTTTTTTTACAGTTTAATTTTATTTGTTTATTTGTAAAACAGGAACACAAAAAATTTAATTTAATTAACATTTAAAACGAAACTTATTTTAAGGAAACATGTTCTTTTGCGTTCAATATATAAGTTGTATTGTTTAATAGCTTAAATATGAGAATAAATGGGAGCATTGTAAATTCTATAGAGATTGAAAAGTAGAAAGTATTGTTAAAAGGAATACGGAAAACAATGGGTTATTATCGTGCTAAATAAATATATCAGAAATTGAATCTCGCGCTAGAAAATGTTTCACTTTTTGTAAGTTTCTGTCCCAATATAATTGCCCTTTCTTTTTATTCGTATTGAAAAGTCAGTTTATCCTCCATTCCATTAAAACATTATTTTATTTTTAAATGTTACTGAGGTGTTATAATTAAACTTTTTTACGGTTTATAAAATAAATGTGATTTAAACAATAAAATATAAAATATATATAATCCGTTCATTGTTAGTTTTTAGAAATGAAAAGAAAATATTAAAATTTTATTTTCATTAAATGATGACTGAATTGTATTGATTTTTTTATTCTTATATATTTCTTTAATAAAGTCACTTTTTTTTATAGCTAACATTTTTTTCGACGATTCTTTGAAAAATAAGGAAATTAGTCTTATGAATCCTACGCAAGATTTTTATTTCCCAAAACGCCTAAATTGCGTAATTTTTATAATTTCTTCAGTTCAATTCATGAAAATGACGCCTTTTTTGATCTTCAAATAAATAATTTTATATTCGGAAAACGTTACTCATTCACTCGCCCTTTCTTTTACTTGAAATAACAGAATTGTGAAAATTGGGTGTATTCGCCGTTGGACAGAATTTTTCTCTCTTTTAAACCTTCCTCCCCATCTGTTTAAAAAAGAAAAACATTTTTATTACAAATTATATGTTCGTATAAAATGTTTTTTTTTTTTACGTATCTAATGTTATATATCCAATGAAAAATAAGAATATTTTTAGGCTTACAGAAATTAACCATTTTTTTAGTTCTCAATGGTAACGAATTTATGTATCGAAATTTTTTAATTATTGCATCATTAAAATATTTTAATTATTGCCTTACTATATTATTGAAATTTTATTAAACAAACCTCTTAACATAAAGTTTTAATTAAATCGTTTTAAAAATCGTTTTAGTGTTTTAACTTCGACTAATTAATTGTCTAGTCTTTGGTTTCACATATTACCCTATGTTGTTGTTTTTGAGGAAAAAGAGTGCATAGCTTAAAGGAATTTTTATATGTGCTGGATAATATAATTTTCCATCCTAATTATATGTATATACATTGAGGATTATTAAAAATGTTTTGAGATATTAAGTCGCCTTAATTTTTTTTTACCGCACTGCGAAAAAAGTATAGTTAAAACTAAAGGAATATGATAAAATTTACCATGTTTTTGGTTCTACGGGAAAGCCAAAGAGCTCTATAATTTTTACTGATGACGCTTTGGTGATGAATTTGGTAAAATTTACATTAAAATATGGTTTTATAATCTGTGATAAAATTTGGTAAATGTGGTAAAATTTGCTAATTTTATCATTATACCTTAGGGCATGGCATAAAAACCATTTATTCAGTTCAATTTACTTTTCAGTTTTGTATTTTTCACTAAATGTGTGCTAAAAAGAACTAAAATTTTAAAAACCGAAATTTCCGGTAAACCGTATTTTTTAACCAGAAATGTTATTACCGTACAATATGGTAATTTTACCAGAATCCTTTTTTCCGTGCAGTGTTATTTTTTGTATCACGATATTTTCTGTATTATTTCTACACGAAGATATTTTCATTGATAGTTCTTGCGAAAATATTTTTCAGTCTATAGTAATCTTTCGAACGAAAAAGGAGATTAAACTCGATTAATTAATTTTAATTAAATTTTTATACTAAGGTCTAAATTAGGTGTATGAGGCACTACACAAACGAATAAATTAGTAGTAGGAGGTTACATACTTAGGAGGGCTTAGAAGATTTATTTCTACAGATATTTTCTTTTTCCTTTTACATGCTGAAGTCGTGAAGAAATTTGGAACTTTAGTTGGTCATGGAATGATTTATTTAAGTACAATAAAACACTGGAGTCAGCGATTTAGAATGAAGTGCGAGAGCTAAGTCAAAAACTGTGCTGATGAAAACATTCTAACTATAGATCGTGATTCATTGTCTTGCTATTGACCTTTCTTGACCAACAATCACGATGGGGGAGACAGTCAAACCACACCCATTTCCCCCTATAGAAACGAATTTCCTGATTGGGTCATAGCCTATGCTCCTAAAAAAATGATTTTATTATTTAGTAAAAATAATAATAAATTTAAAAAGAAACATTAGTTCGTGTTAGGCTGAAGCTTTGCTAATCTTTGGCAGGCACGTTTTAGCACCTATTTTAATTAAGTTGATTTGTTTCCATTTATTTATATTGAGCTTGTCTCATACTTAGTAAATTAATCGATATAACAGTTTTGATATTGGACGTATCGATTATAGGCCTTGTAGCAGAATTTACAGAGTAAATTTACCTCCCTATCTTGATAAGTTCAATTTTGTGTTTGATCTGGTCACAGTCGGAAAAAAATTATTTTAAAATTAGACTTAATTTGAATATAGAAAGATTTGAAGCTATAATATACTGTACCCCCAGTAGCAGAATTTACAGTGTCAATACGTAGCATTAGCTTCGAAAATTCAAACTAGTCTGCTTTTTCAAAACAGGGGAGCAGAGATTATTACTGTAAATATTATGCTTAATCTGACATATATTTATCACAATTTGCAATGTATATAATAAATATATATAATATACATTTACGATATTACCTAAATAGATATTTAAAGCTATATACAAAAACTTTATGTTGTTTAAATTTTATTTGAATTTAATCACTCTTACTTTATTTTTGCCCAAAAGGAGATAAACAAATGTTTATACTGATCTCAATAAAGAAAAGGAAGGATTTAAGAGGTGATAATATTAAAATGAACTCTTTTCATTTTTAAACAAGAAAGAACTGTAATTTATTGTCTTATGATTTGTGCCTATTTAATATTTCTCCAAGTGAAAACCATTAACATACCATCCCGGGTTCTTTAGAGAAAAAAAAAAAAGTTAAAAAAAGAGAGAGAGAAAAGAAAAAAGAAAGAAAAAAGTCAGAAAATGAACATTAAGTATCCTTTTTTTGTTATCAAATTTTACTATTATTAAATTTCACTTAGATAGAAAACTGCTTCTTGTTTTTCATGAATGAACATAAAAAAAAAAACTCTTTGTTCGTTTTATCTGAAATGCTAGCAATTTTTTCTCCATTTGTTGTTGTTTTAAAAAAAAATTTGAAGTGGAAAACATCAGTTGAAAATGAAATACGTTTTGCTAACGCTGTGATAATTAGTTTTTATGAAATTGTAGTTTTGATAAAGATTTTTTTTATCCAATATAGTAAAATAAAATTTCTTACGTCATCCTCATATAA